GGGAGAATCTAATGAGGACGACCCTGAACTAGGTGATACTTCGGTACCCGCAATGTCCGTAGTTCCCGTAGGTTCCACATCATCCTCATCAAGAGATAATCGTAGTCGCGATCGCAACGCGACTCCTCCCCGTAGGACTCCCATTGTAGAGGAACCTGATTCAGACTCTACAGCAACCCCACTTGTGTATAGCCCACAGGTGCCCACTCCCGACCCTTCTAGGGACATGAGTGCCGCCGCGTTTGTGGCCGGATCGGCGTTGCAACGTGCGCATCAAGCTTCGCTCATTGCTGATCAGGCTGCCAATGTTGCCCTTCACGAGCATCGAGCCGCGGACCAGGCCAGACAAAGGCTAGGGGAGGTTGCCGCTGTTGCGCAACAAAGGGAGCAGACCTTTAGACAACAGGCAACTGAACTGACATACCAAGCCCAGCAAGCAGTCGAACGAGCCCGTGCTCAGACAGCATTAGCTGAACAAGCTGCACAGCATTCTCAACAGGAAGCTCAAGGCCATGTTCAACAGGTGAGGCAGGAAGCCGAAGGCCATGTCCATCTGTTAAGACAGGAAACCGTAAGCCATGTTGAGCGTGCTAGGCATGAAGTACAACAAACAAGGTCGGCCGCTGAAGCCGAAGTGTCCAGGTTGAGGCAGGAGGCTATTCAAGAAATTTCCTCACGGGAACAGAAGATCCTCCAGCAAAGCAAAGTGATAGATACATTAGGGAGTGAAAACCTTTTGTTGTCGCAACGCCTTGCTGACCTAGAAAGGGCTGTCGCATCCATGGCACAAAATGTTCCGGCACCTCCGGATGAAAGTCATGAAAGTCAAAATCCTACGGATCCCGGGTCATCGGGGCTAAATGACGTTGGACGTGACCGTCAGGTTGGATCACAGGCTCCCCAAGTTCAAGAGCCGAGTGATGCCACACGTGAGCAGTATCCCCCGAAGGATGCAGCTCTAGGCGCATCGGGAAGTTTAAGTAGCGACCCTAAGGTAGCGCCACGTGCCCCTGTTGGTTTCCCAAAATCCTTCGCCCCCCCACAGCCCGACATCAAGTCAGATGCCAAGCGTGTGCAAATCCAGGATGGTGATCCACGTGCACAACCACAAGGACCACCGGACGTCGCTCGGACTCAGGATGTAAGGGGACCTGTAGACGTACAGGCACAAATGTCCTCTTTAACTGAACTGGTCCATCAACTTTCAAAGTTAGTTGAGGCCCAGGTAGGGGTATCAGGGGCTTCGCCCCCGATCGCATCGGCTCAGGCACCCCCGCCTTCCGTAGCTGTCCAGCACAACTGCTGTCCCCACGCTTAGGCTAACAAGTGCAAGTACAAGTCAAGTGGCTCAATTCCCATCCTCCCCACTCGCACCTTCGGAGGCAAGCTCTGACACATCCTCAGGATCCGGTGACGAGGGTAACACTCCCTCATGCCGAGTCTGTGGTGGCCCGCATGATGATACCGCCTGCCCCTCCCTTTCCATGAATGGGGGGCAGGGACAAGGTACTCAAGCAGCAGATGCAAGTGGTGGGGATGCTGCTTCAAGCGCATCAGATCCGGCACATGAGGAAACCGTGGTTCGCATAAAGGACCTTAAGGATTTGGTCCGCCAGAGAACGCCGGTCAGGCGCGTGGGTTTGTGAATCAAGTCCTCATGGCCATTGGACGTCTACAAAAGACGACCGGTGACGAGCTCTATCTCTGGGCTCAGGATTGCCTGACCTCATCCGAGGAACAACTCAGGGCAGATAAACGTTTCCCACGCACAACCCGCGAGATAGCCGCCAAGCTGTTGAAGACCTGTCGCAAAGGCAAGTTTGGGTTGTTGTTCCAAAACATGGTGGAGCACGAACGGAACACCGCAGGTACAATGCCCAATGGGCGCGTGATGTTGCGTTCGATCTTCAAGCACTTTCAACTGGAGCGTGATCGGATCGGCATCCTTGGAGAACGCAATCTTCTAGGTTTGAAGCTTGCCGGCCAGTCAGTAGCAGACATAGAGGCTTTCCGTGAGAAGTACAACTATATTCTCCGTGCAATACCTCTTGATGAGCTCCCCAAGGAAAGAACTCTTTTCAATCATCTCATTGACGAGTTTGAGAAGTGCCAAGTAATGAAGCATCGCGTTGAGAAGGCCCGTGAGTCCGCCCATGATAGTCACCGCCGCACCTGTGCATGGCTTTGGGCAAAGGCTGACCTGGCCATTGAGCTTGCCCAGCAAAAACGCAACCGTGATGAGTTTGATCAGGATGTCAAGCTCAAACCGGCTGTTCGTGGCACGGGCAAGGAAGCAGCTACCAGCGCTTTGCCAGCAGAGACTAAGGAGGAGAAGAAGAAGAACAAGAAAGGCGAGAAGAAAGGGGATCAAGGGCAGGATAAAGGCGGCACCCCAGCTGCTCCTGCGCCTAAAGGGAAAAGTCCTTTGAACCCTAAGCCTCCTCCTCCTCCGAAGTCCCAAAGTGCAAACAAGGGAGACACTCCCCCTTCTAATCTCACCCCGAGGTCGAAGGCCGTGTCCAAGACAGCAAAGATGTCAGCCGCTGAAACGGCAAAAGTTCCGTGTATGTTCTATGCCTATGATGCGTGTAGGGCCAAGTCCTGCGCCTTCCTCCACTCACCGACCGAGAAGTACACTGGGCCGCCCCCACGGGCCCTCAGTAAGGCGAAATCTCCGGCCGCTGTTGCCGCCGTAGTCCCAGCAGTCCCAAGTGTCCCCGCCAGGAACAATAACATTAGCTGGCTTTGGGACACCGCTGCAGGTCGCCACCTCATCGGTAAGCAGGCTTTGAACAGCACCATGATGCATTGCGTACGCAAGACCAACACACCGGTAGGTTTTGCCACAGGCGGGGGAGCGCAACAAGGAGATAAATCTCTTGCGTTTGAGGACTCCCGTGTGATCCCACCTGATGAGCAGGTTTACGTTTTGAACGAATGTCCGCCCGCTCAATCAATTGGCAAAACCGTCATCGATCGAGGTTACCTCTTCATCTGGGACCCCAGAGAGAATGTTCCTTATCTTGTGCCTCCTTCTGAGATTGGTAAGTGCAAGCTTCGGGTTCCTCGCCGTTCTAGGATCAACGCCTCCAGGGTTGTTGAGTACGTACCACAGTACGATGAGGTAGTCAAGCCGCAGATCGTTGATCAAGCCGCGAATCTTCGACCGATCAATGTTGTTGGTTCTCCTGTGCAAGTCGAGGATGATGCAGTTTCCTTGTCCGATGGTGATTCCTTCATCATTGATCCATGCCAGGATTTTCCATCACCTCCCCAAGTGCCAAAAAAAGAAAAGGAGCAGCTCAATGCGCTCATTGATGATGTGGTCCAAGAGATTAAGGTTGCTAGCTCAAGGCGCAACGAAAAGCCAGCCATGCCAGCTCCGGAGGAAAGGCCTCCGGCCGAGCCCCCGGATACGCCGCCAGTGCCACCACCTGTTGGAGCACCTCCTGTGCCCGCACCAGCGGTGCCCAAACATCCTGATGACGAGCGCAGGCTTGTCGATTTTGCAGAAGGTGGTGAGCTTCGTGATGAACCTCGGCTTCGGGTCGAAGCCAGTTCACCGGAACACCAACGGACTCACTTCCCCAAGAATCCCTTCTGCAAGATTTGCAACATCGCTAAGAACACCTCAATGCGTGTTGCCCGGAAACCAGGGGGGCGGAGTGACGATCTTCTCGACGCACCCACCGCTCCCTACCAGCAGCTCGCTACTGATAGCGTGATCTTGGCGAAAGGCGATGAACACGTTGGCATCGGCATAGGCGGAATAAAATCCCACCATGTCATCAGGGATGTGTTTTCCGGCGCAAGGGTCGCATACCCGGTCTGTAAGAGAGACATTCCGTCGCACGCAAGGAATCTCAGGCATTTCATTGGCCTCAGAGCCAACGAACTCGCTCCACACTGTCTCATAAACATGGATGAAGCTGGAGAGTTGCAGGGAGCGGCCGAGGAAGTAGGAATGATCCCCGAAACTTCGTTGCCGAATCGCTGGCCACACAACTCCGAGCTCGAGCGAGATGTCCGAGAGGAGAAAGAGTGTTGCAGGAGCATACACCATCAATCGGGTTTGCCCTACTCTCTGCACACGCATTCCTATCCCTTTGCATGCCTCTCGATGTCTTTCGACAGACCGTCCACGTTCGATCCGACAAAGACGCAATGGGAAGCACTCACCACTTGGATCGGCTGTGTGCTTAATAGTGACTTGCCATGGTTACTGCCTCTGCTAAATATTTTGTAAAAGTCAAGTAAAGCCTTAGTAACAAGTTGTAAGTGCTTATAAACAGCGTAAAGTGCTGATTGAGTTAATGCTCTTACATAAAAAATAGCTAACATGTGTAAGTGTACTAGTTAAAGTAGCTAGTTTATAAGTAGTTAGCTACAGGATTAGCTAACTTTTGACTTTTGCTTAGCACACTTCTTAATGGGCTAGTAAGGTAATAGTAAGGTATGATTTGTTCTTGCCTTCAATAGTGCCGCAAAGGGCCAAAGCAATCTCAAATGTTGTTTGTACCGGTCTGGGATTCCTTTAGCATATGATTTGCGCACCTCTTTGAGGCATGCAGCTTTGGCAGTTTGCTGCCTCATTTTGTTTGATAGTAAGCCCATTGGGCTATGGTTTTGTTATCAGCCTGCACAGGCTCGCAGTTAACAGGGCATCGCTGAGCTTGTATTTTGGAATTGCCATGCTGCAATGCTCCTTGCGTGTGGCACCATTATCAGCCCCTTGGGCTTCTGATGTTTCTTTTCAGCCTTCACAGGCTCAGCCTTCTTGTCTAGAAGCCATGAGCTGCTGCGGCTTTCAGCCTGCGCAGGCTTGTGTTGCATGCATGCTTTCAGTGCTTCATGGAGTTGTGCAACTATAGAGGAGCAGCAAGAAGCACCTGCCCAGCACATGCGCAGCACAAGGAACATGCAGAGTTTCATGACCAGCAAGCGAAGCATGACATTACAAGGCAGCCGTCACCAAGCTGCTAGTGCTGCAGCCCCATGCCATGGATGATGCTTTGAAAGCAGAGATTAATGCAGTGAGATGTGATGAAGGGCTTCAGATCAACAGAAAGTGTCAGGTCATTTTGAGCAAGCTGCAAGCTGCAGGCTTGCTGTGGGAGCAGAAGGTGATGCCTGTGCAGTTGCTGGTGCATCCCAGCAACCGATCTGGGGCCATGCTCAACAGCTTTGACATGCATGCCAAAGGAGCCATGGTTTTGACCATGGGGTGCTTGGTGGACAAGCTGAGTGACTCCTTGGCTTTTGAAATGGCAAAGGAGCCAGGCCAGAAGCAGACGCAACTGCAGGCAAACCTGGAGCTGGTAAGCGCGTCAGAGAACAAAATTGCCCCAGTGCTCTCCACAGAAAGATATTTGACAGTGGCTTGCTCCCATGTGGGCATGTTTATGAAAACAGTGGCAGCAGGCACTTGCAGCACAGAGCACGAAGAACTTGCCAGAGTGAACAATGGCCTGCTGACCTTGGACAGTTTGCTTTCAAAGTATGCAGACCCGGTCTTAGAAGCTTTGATCAAGGAAGGCTGGACATGGAAGGTGATCAGCGCAGAAGTGGAAGAACACCTTGAGTGGCTCCCCGGGTTCTTGCAAGGCAGCTTGAACACTTCTCAACAGGTGGCAAGCACGCCCACGGAGATGGAGCAAGCAATGAGCTTGGCTTTCTGGTACAGCAGGAGCAAGGACTTGGATGTTGCCATTGCCCAGACCGCAGCCTGCATGCCACTCAGGGCTCACTATGTGCCCATGATTGCTCAATGGGTAGCAAAGTATGGTGGAGGTGAGGAGTTCCCTTTGGTGAAGCTTGCAGAGTCCATCAGTGACTGGTTTGCATTAACTTAATACCAAGGCTGGTTTGCTGTGAGCTGTGTAAGGCAGAGCTGGAGGTGCGCTACAGCTGGGGGAGGAATTTCTCAGCCATGTGGTGAACCTTGACTTCAGAAGCAGCTCAACAACTTACCCAATGCTGAGGACAGCCCTCATTGCCACACAGCTTACTTCGCCCAAAGCTGTCCAGAGAGATGGCTACGGTAGGCTGTTGAGCAAAACAGATGTGGACAAGCTCAAAGGCCAGGCTTTCGGCAGCATGGTCAGTAAGGCAGAGTTGCTGTTGGTGAATGCTTGGAACTTGGCATCCAAGACACCATGCTTGGCATGGGACAAGAAGTGCTTGGCCTTGGGAAGGTTTATGTGCAGATTGGTCCTGTTCATGCTGAACAAGCAGGCCAAAGGCAGGGAGAAGAAGTCCTATGACAGCCTGGAGCAAATCAACACTCTGTTTTCAGAGGACTGGTCTGCCATGGTGAAGGATGGCAAGATTGCTCCTGCTGCGCTTGCAGCCAGTGGTGCTGCATCTTCTGGCAGTAAACCCCCTGTCCCTTTGCAGAACACAGCAGACCCTAAGTTCATTGCGATGTCTGCCAACCCTCACTTGGAAGTTGGCAAATGCTACACCAATGCAAAGTATCCTGGCCAAATTTTCAAATTCACTGAGATGCAGGCTTCTTTTGCCAAGATGACGCACGCCCCTCTGTTTGGCAGCCCTGTGACAGTGGATGTGCAGCATGATGAGCTAAAGACTTGGAAAGTCTGCTACTCGAAAGAGCCTGCCCTGATTGACGGCAGCATTTTGACGAAGATGCAGCCAGCGAATTCAGAGCAGCTCCAGGTAGACAAAGCCAAGGCAGTGCTGCAAACTGCCATCTATGACTTGTAGTTGGAGCAACCTGCCTTAGAAAGACATGCTAGTGGCAAGTGTTTTTAGGAATTGTTACATGTTGCTTTGTGAGGGTTGCTTTACCGTGCCTGCAAGCCATCCCAGGAGTCATGAGCCTGAAGTCTTGATGTCAAGCAGCAACCAGATCTTTGCCAGCAGTAGTGTCAAGAGAGGTGGACTGAAGTTGTTACCCTTGGGGACAGTGGTGGAAGCAAAGCCTGACAAAAATGCAAAGAATGTTGTGGTGCTGACTTACCCTGGCCTGGAAACTAAGTTTCAGATTGCGCCTTGCAAAGTGGATTTCAGAAAGGAAGCTGGGCTATTTGTGCCATTCAACTTCATCAAGCACGCACCTGAAGGCGAAGCTGGCAACATGGAACTGACCAGCAAGAAAAAGGACGGCATTATAATTCCACTGTATAGGAACAAGAGGCCCCTTGACAGAGGGGATGAGCTGCTTTTGGACTCAGCGTCCAGAATGCTAGACAGTGCTTGTGGGAAGAAGGCAAAGAAGTCTTCAGCATGAAGCTGCAGCATATAACGGTGTGTCTGAATAAAGGGGCGCAAGCTGTGCCTGCAAGCTTTCTTGGAAGCATTGCATGGGCTTGCAAGGAGTTGCGTTGTGTGCACCCAGTCTTGGTCACATGTTGGAAGCTCGTTAGTTTTGGCAGGCTGCTATAGGCTCAGCCTTTGGCAGGCTGTTTGGCTTAGCCTGCGGCAGGCTGATTCCTTAGCCTTTTCAGGCTGCTCAGGTTCAGGGCTCAGCCTTTGGCAGGCTGTTTGGCTCAGCCTTGCGGCAGGCTGATTCAGGTTCAGGGCTCAGCCTTTGGCAGGCTGTTTGGCTTAGCCTGCGGCAGGCTGATTCCTTAGCCTATTCAGGCTGCTCAGGGTCAGGGCTCAGCCTTTGGCAGGCTGTTTGGCTTAGCCTGCGGCAGGCTGATTCCTTAGCCTATTCAGGCTGCTCAGGGTCAGGGCTCAGCCTTTGGCAGGCTGTTTGGCTTAGCCTTTTCAGGCTCACCAGGTTCAGGGCTCGGCTCAGGCTTTGGCAGGCTAGTTGGCATTGCTTGTGACAAGTGGGTTCCTTAGCCTTTTCAGGCTTCTCAGGCTTAAGCACCTTGGGCGCATGATGCCTGAGACGCAGGAAGGCTGGGTGTGGAAAGAAGGCCAATGGGCCTGGTGTATGGGCAGGCAGGAGTGGGCCTGGCTGAAAAGCCAATGGGTTTGGCTTGAGGAGCAGGTGGCCTGGGCACAGCCCCAGTGGGTCTGGCCAAGTGGTGCCGGGGACTGGGCGTGGCGTGACGCTATGTGGGTACAGCTGCAGGCGCCGGAGGACAAGCCGTACCCGACGGAGCGGGGATGGCAGCCGCACGCAGGCATGATAATGCCGCAGGAATGGCAGGGCCAGTGGTTTGTGCCACCAAGCCCTGCGAGTGGCGAGGAGGAGGACCCAAGCAGCCAGGCTGTGCAGGATGAGGTCATGGAGGACTACGGCAGCGAAGAGGGAAAGGCCAAGAGCTTTCTCGAAGTCCTGCGCATGCAGGAGGAGGCCGAGGAAGAGGAGCGAGCAGCCAAGCGGCAGAAGTTCACGGAGAAGTCCACGGGGAGCAATCCCCAGAAGCCGAATGCAAACCAGATCTACCCGCAGGACTTGTTTGCGCCGCATGTCCGTATTTCTGAAACTGCCATGCATGTTTTTGCCAGACCAGCTCAGCCTTTGTGTTGCAGGCTTCTGGCTATTTTACCCAACCGAGAGCAATCCATTAGGAGCAACCCATTAGACTTCATCCATACTGATCTGTCTCATTTACTAGTAGCAACTCTTGGGATGATCTTGATGTGTTGGACAACCTTGTGCATAGCTGTGAGGTGTGTTTTAGCCTGGCAAGAGGCTTCATCCAATGATTTTTTTTAGATCTCACCAAATGGACTTGCATCAGGACAAGAAGAAGATCAACCGAGGCAGCGGCTGGAAGATGAAGACAGTTCCGCTGGTGGCGCACGTGATGAACGAGGACTGGGGCCAGGCAAAAGCAGCTGCCCGGTCGATGTACGACGAGGCGGCGATGCAGCCATGGGTGGACAAGTACATGCAGCAGATGAGCACTTTTGGCCGAAGCAACCGCTGGAAGGCCTGACATGTCACTGTGGAGGAGGTGGAAGAAGGAAAAAAGAAGCTGCTCCAACTGAGCCTACGCAGGCTGTCAATCCATGTTCAGCCTCACGAGGCTACATGTGGAGCTTCAGCCTCAGCAGGCTGCACATTTTCATGGTCAGCCTCAACAGGCTATGTTTGAAATCAAGATCAGCAGTAGATGCTAACAAAGCAGATGACACTGAGACATTATCAGCCTTGACAGGCTTTTACAGTAGTGCTCAAGCCGAACCTACTCACAATTTCAAGATTATTTCCACACGATTGACATGGTTCAGCCTTGGCAGGCTTAACAGCGCCACTCAGCACCACCAGGAAGCAGGAGGATTCATTTCTTGAGTTTAGAACTAGTCAGAAATGCCTAGTGTGAGTCTACACATTTAGCACAGTTGCAAAAGTATACTGAAACAGATTGAGGTTAAAAACAAAATAAAAATAAAAAAACAAATGCCAACGTGCATGAGAAAGGTTAAGAAACAGGTGATGGTTACTCAAAGTCACACTGGAGTGATGATAACACTGTCATAAATCTGAATTGAGCACCAACCGAATGAAGTTTGAATTCAGAATTTTGAATTGGAGGATCAAAGGCATGATTTCTCATGTATAAAACCTGAATTGCAAGAACAAGGGCATCAATTTTCACTTCATAAATGTGAATTGGAAAATTAAAGGCAAAACTTTCAATTCAGAAATCTGAATTGAAACTCAAGGGTATGTTTTTCAATTCAGAAATATGAATTGAAAACACAAGGTTGTGAAATTTCAATTCAGAAACCTGAATTGAAAAACAAGGTTGTGAAATTTCAATTCAGAAATCTGAATTGAAAATCAAGGTTAAGTAATTTCAATTCAGAAATCTGAATTGAAAATCAAGATTGTGTAATTTCAATTCAGAAATCTGAATTGAAAATCAAGATTGTGTAATTTCAATTCAGAAATCTGAATTGAACAAATCAAGGGTGTATAAATTGAATTCAGAATTCTGAATTGAAAATATCAAGAATCTAAAGCCTAAATGCAAATTTGCTGAAGTGGAAATGTAGCTCCATGATTTCCAATTTAGATTTCTGAAGTTGAAACTCATTATGATTATGCAGGTCTTGTGATCTTTCTTGAGGATTGACACACCAAATTGATAGTGCATTTTTTATCTTTCATGTTTGAAACCGAAGGATAAGATATCCACTTTGGTATTTTGACATATGACTCCGTATGTTTCTCACAACATGCCAGTCCTTCGAGACTTAAATTCTTGCCTCGTAAATTATGCATCATCACATTGTACATGCATGTGTTCACCGGCTGTGGTTTTTGGGGTTTGGTGTAGCGCTTACACCTTTCCTAAAATTGCATGTGTTTTTTACAATCTTCCTTGAACTTGTACATGATTAGTATAGCTTTCGACCAGTTATGGATGTACAGATGCACCAGCTACACAAACACAGAGTATCATGAGTGTAGCAGTATCAGCACAACCAGCCAACATGACAGGTTGCAAGGTAATTGCGGGTGAGCAGGCTGCATGCCAGCAGATTGAGCTTGCATTTTGCAATGGCTGCTCAGAGAAAGAAGGTTTACAGATTAGGATGGTCTCACAAGGATGGCCTTTCACTGGGACTTGCGAACTGCTGCATAGATAAATATGAGTTCTATTTCAAACGCATTTAACCATTCATCCAAGGAGCATTGCAAGGGCTTCAGAGTGTTTTGCATCTGTTGGCAATTTAGTTCAATAGGTTTGGAAGCCTTGCATCTCCAAAGACAGAGTGTGCATCAGTTGTTTTTTTACATTGTTAAACTAACAACGTGAAGCACAGCATTGCTATAGAGACACGTTCAGCCTTTTCAGGCTGTTGGTTTTTGTGCGTTTGCAATTCAAATCTTCTGAGCACAGTTGTTTTGTTGGTGGGAGGTTTGCCTTGTGATTTGAATGTGCTAGTGCCTTTTAGGATTCTGCTGCACTTGGTTTGA